GCTTTTACTGAATTTAATTTATTGAAAACCAGAAAAGCAAATGTTTCTGAAATTACCAAAGAAATTAAATCTTTTTCTATCCTAGTACTAGCCCCTCCTCCTTTGGATTGCAAAAGGCAGGAATATCTTTATCATCATATTCGCCCATTTGTTAGAGATGAATTCAAAGATATTACTTGTCCAAAGCCAGTTTATGTTGATGAGTAAAAATATTATTATTAAAATAAATTTATGAATCAAAATAAAATTGACTCTCTTTATGAATTAATCAAACAAAAATTCCAAGAAAAAGGTCGTCCACTCAAAATTATTTCTGACTGAGACGAAGTATTACAACCTTCAAAGCCTCTTATTGTCTACCAAATATCTGATAAAAAGTTGTCTTTTGCTGAATTCTTTAAGCATTTTTGAAGTAATGTGAAAATAGTCTACAAACTCCATGGCACTAAAATAAAACGATACTCTTATGTAAGTAATGACCCTGCCGAGTTAGATGACCAGAAACTAAAAAAGAGCAAAGTAGAAATGTTTGGTTCTGAATTTTATCCACGAGCTCCACTTCTTACAATAGCAGATGACTTGCTTTTGGCTTTAAAGGAAGGTTTAATTAGTCAGCTAAATTTAATTTCTTCTTATAAAAGAGGTGGCACTGGTGTTGACAATAATCCAGGAAAAGAAAAAAAGTTTGCTAATAGTTTTGGTAAGTTTCCTCAATCCAATCTTTTACTTAAAGAATTAACCATTAACTCCGAAGGAGAAGCAGTTCCTCATAGACATGAAACAATAAAAGAAAAATGACCAGACTTTGATATTTTTATTGATGATAACCCTGCTATTATTGAAGAAAGCAACAAGTTTTTTAATGATCAAAGCAAAATACTAGTTGTTCCTGATTATAAAAGCACTGAATATCTCCAAGCTCCTAATATTTATCATGTCAAGCAAGAAGTAAGTGATTTAAAAGATGAAGACTTCACAAAAGCAGCTGAGGAATACAAAGAAAAGACTAAGACAAGCAACAATAAATGAATTGATGCTAATACTAAGTCTTTTTTACTATGATTTGGGCTTACAGTGTTGGTGTTATGTGGTCTAGGTCTTGTTTATGTACTATTAAAAAGGGTAAAAAAGAAGAGATAGTAACAATTATTTGTCTCTTCAATCAATTGTTGTTGTTGTTGTTGTTGTTGTTGTTCAACTTACTTTCTTTAACTCTCTTCAAATTTTCGTTTCTTTCTTGGTTCATCATAAGTAGAGGTTAAGGTTCGTTTATGGTTTATTATTTTTCGTTCTTCCTGGTAAATTTCATAAGTGATTTTTTCCTTATCTAGATATTCCTCAAGAATTTTGGTGTCATTGATTTTAAAAACATAAGGCGCAATTTTCTCTCCTTGTTCCTTTTTTAAGATGCTTCTAATAGTGCTGTAATTCTTGGGTTCCATAGTGGATTTGATGTAAATTAGTTTCATATTAATATTTTTTATATAGAGGTAATCCTATATTAATCCTGTTATGGTTTATATTCATCACATTCTGGTATGATAAAGTGAGCATTAAAATTAACAAGTCCGTAAGTTATGAATGAGCACCATTATTACTTTTCAAAACGTCATCAGTCACACTGGTCAATTTTACAGCCACATCACAGTCAGCCTCTCATTTATAAATGTTCACTTTGTCTGGTTTTGTTGCAGTCTGCCCCATTTGGATAATTTTCTTTCTGACGTGAAAAGAAGTTTCCTATTGGGATTGGTTATTTGTAATCTCAAGTTCTGGTTATGGTAATAGTTAGAGATAATTGATGATATATACTTTTATTAATTAAAAAAACTATTTGTGGATTACAGTACTGTTGGCTGCTAACTTAATCACTTGAATGTATTTTAATGAGGGAGGTAATAGAAAATAGCCAAAGTTTAAAACGTTGTATGATTAGGTTTCATGGCAATGGAAGAATTAATTATGTGAGGGCAGTTCATAATGTTGGTTTTGTAGCACGGGAATTAATTCTATTGGCTAACAGCGTCGTTTTTGTCGCGATAATCTTACCGCGATAACTCTAGAAAGGGTAATCGATAGAAAAGTTTGTGTCGCCTGCGTGTAATGATTCGTTATCGATAGTGTAACTTCTCATTACTGTATCCAGCTTATCTCATCTCACTATTTCTATACTTTGATAAATTCGTTTTGATCGATGCAGAGACAACCTCATATTAAAGCGCATGTAAAATTACATAATATGCTGCTAAATGATATGTATAACGTACATCACACAGAAGAGCGATCGATCAACTTTTTAGATCGGAGATCTGGGAAAGAGGCAAACGCATCAATGCAGGTAGTACCGAATTTGGTGTAACTCGGACTTGGTCTCCGAAGGTTATCGTTGCATCTCTATGAAGTGCGATTAATAAAGTAATGATGTGAGTTATCATATTAATACGATATCTGACGGCGTAATCATTCTTTAGGAACGTTTGTTTGTTCTTAAGAGACTAATACCATTAAAAGACCGACCCTCAAAACTAAAAGTCTATGAATACCACCCAAGAATTCCCAACGTTTTTATTATCTCTTCCACACCTTTGCAAGCCGGAAAGACCGACGGAAAAGACGACGGCACGGCAAAAGACGAATAAGGAATTGTTGAAACATTACGGCGGCGGCGGCGGAAGAAAAGTATGGGGATATCTCTCGCTCAATACATCCCCTGCGGAGCTGCCATCCCACCGACAATTCCAAAGGGACGGACTGCAAGTTGAAAAGTCCCCCGATACCTGTAAGGACGATGGAGGAGGAACGGATGGCATGAGGGAAAGTGAAGAAGATACCGTTCCTCCTCTCCCCGGCCCCGCCAGAGGCGGCAAAACGGATGCTTCTCATCTTCGAGAGATAATCGATATGAGAACGCATATTACGGCTGAGGCAGCGCGCACTATCAAGAGTAGACAAATGCCAACATTGACAATTATGAGCAAAGTCTACTAGTGCTGTTAGGCGCTGGTCCCCCCCCCCCCCTCTCCCTTGGGGTTGGACAATGATGGGGTTAGGGACAATGTTGGTAGTGTTGGCGACGGTTACGGACATTGGTGTTGGTGGTGCTGGCTACGGACAACATGGTGGTGCTGGCTGCGGACAATGTGCTGCTCCGCAGTGTTTTACACGTTAGAACACTGATATATATACTGTACATGTAAATTATAGCGACTGGTTTTTATTATTATTTATTATTATTATTATTATCATCATTCTCATGTAAATATTATCTCAATCTTGTAAATAAAGTATCTTAAGACAGTTCGATATCATCAATCAAATCAGCGTCTGTGGAGGGGGTAATGAAATGTCTAATGAAATGTCTAATAGAAGGTCTAATGGAATGTCGCAATTCGACAATGTAATTTCAATCAACATCATCGTTTTATTCCCACGATGGGAACGTGTCATATAAAAGAAATTCTTATGTTCCAGCATAATGGGAAAACTCATACATCGAGTTTATGGCAGATAACCAGGTAACTTCATTGTTGCTCGCGGGATTGCGAAATGCTTGAGCCATTAACTAATTCTGTGCTCATATGGGGCTTCAATCAAGAATGAACTTGGCTTAAATCTAGCAAATACACTAACCACCACAGAATCATGCTTGGGCTTGCAGTCATCCGCAAAATTCTGAATTCTTATGTGAACGTTGTATCACGTATTAAGAATTTGTCAGGCTTCACTTTACGATTCACGTTCCAAAGATAGCCGTTAATGAGTTTCAGAAGCTACATTCTCTTGCAACGGGTTTGTCAAACCAATTTCAGTAAAACACGCGCCATCGCAGGTGAAGTCGGACATCTACAAGAAACAACAGTGGATGTGATGAAAATGTTGCGAGGGAGAGCTCGCATAAGTATGCGCAACTTGAAATGTCGTCAATAGACGTGAAAATGGTACAAATCTCTATCATTACGAACCATAGAGGAGAGGCTCGAATGATGAGATGGAAAACTGTTGCAAGTAAGTCATTTCAGATACAGGGTTACTATAACCAGACGTATAAGAGGCGGAGGCGTAACTTCAGAATGGCAGTACTTCTTCTGGATAGGCGTTGAGCGAATCTATTCGATCACTGGAATGCGCTAATCTACTTGCTCTGTGGTGAAGGATTGCGTACGCTGAATCTCTAATGGTAAAAGTTCGATGCATTTAATGAGCGTTGTCGTCCCTAGGATACAAGACTGTAAGTGCTCGATGAACAAAAGGCTGTATTTTACTTAACACACTGCCACTAAGCTGCAAATCTGTCACCATCACTCAGGTTGACGAGAAGAGGAACAAATACAAGAAGGAATACTTTATTCACACACAATATTAATGAAAGGTGTGAAGTGCTATCGTCTTTACGTTTCTTTCAATTGAAACGAGTTATAGGACGTATTCTTCTGGTCGTGCGCCAATTTGAAATTATTTTTTTTTTATCGGACTTCGCTCTGCGATCAGTGTTAGAGATACCATAAAGAAACGGAACGGCGACATGGAGGAACGGCGACATGGAGGAACAGGAACGGCGTAGAGGAACGGCGTAGAGGAACGGCGTAGAGGAACGGATCATTATGTTTACACATAGATGGAGGCCGTAAACTATAGCAGATGGAAGATTGTGCCCTTATTTTAACATGCAGACGTGGATATGGCGACGATGGGTCAGTCAAGTAATTATTCCAGACATAAAATACCATAACTAGACGTTTGAGAGGTGGAAGCCTAACTTGAGATTGTAATTGGCGGTTTTTCTCTGTTAAGTGTTGATTCAGTCTATTCCATCGCTTGCAAATTCCTGTGAATTTACTAACCCTGGGAATTGCGATTGGAACAGGTGACCGCAAATAGAGGTTAGAGACCGTAATCAAGTATGCTGACACCCATCCACCCCCTCTTTACTCGTGGAGAAGGCAAGATGGTAAGTGTTCAATGAACCAAAAAATGCTATATTCTATGTAACACGCTACGCTACCATTAAACCATAAAATTTTGTCACCATCATTTAGCGCTGACGGGGGATGAACGGATACAAGACTAAAGAACATCATATTCGAGCAGCACTATGGATGGGATACTTTACTCTGTCGATATGAAGTACTGTCGTCTGTTTCTTTCTGTCAATTGAAATGGGTTATGACCCGGTCGCGTAACCAAATTATTCATATCAGGCGTCGCTCTGTTAGAGATACCGTAGAGGAACGGTTATCATAAATTCTTTTGGATATGGACGTCGACTATAATAAGACGTTGTTTGTCAGAGCTCTTGTTTTAGTATCGGAACACACCCAGAAGGGAATAGTGGATATGAAGACGATGGATATGTCAAGTAATTTATTTGTAGAGGTTGAAGCATAGCTTGGGAATGTAATTAGCAGTCAGAGTTGTTTTGGTAAGCATTGGATCAGTCTATCCTATCGCTCGAAAATCTTGTGAATCTACTAATACTGAGAATTGTAATTGAAATAGGCGATTGATACGGATATCGATTAGACCTTACAATTAAAGAATCAAATATGCTGACTTCTTAATGACTCCCTCAATGAACAACGATGATTCGATTAGTGTCTGGTGCCGGGAATGATAGAACGGGAATGCAAAATGGTAAGTGTTCGATGAACAAAAAGCTGTATTTTACTTAACACCGCTAAGCTGTCACCATCATTAGGCTGACGGGACATTCGAGCAGCATATTGGTTTGGATACTATGTTCGGTCGCGCGCGGAATACAATGAATGATATGATGTCCCTCATAATCAAAAATGTCAGTTCATTCAAATGATAAGAGAAATGAAGAAATGGAAGATATATTGGTGTGGTGTAAAACGGGTGTATGTACTGTGCTTACAAGGCACGGATCGGGCAAGGCTATGTATTTAATTTGCCAACGCCGAGTTCTTTCCATTGTTGACATAAATTTGGGGGGTTTTCCTTCCCGTCTGCTGCTATGAGCTGACAGGCCTGAGAACCACGATGGCATCGAAAACATGGAATTTGGATGAGAGGACAACCGTGGGTTATGGAATATAGGTGCGTTCACATCAGAAACATTTACAACCGACACTTCACACATCTAGTCAACTCATGCGATTTCTGACAGTAACTATCGTTTTGATTCTCTAACACGTAGAAACTTCCGAAACGGTTGACTGTTGAAAGACCCCCACGTACAGCGTAACTATGATAAGGCGCATGCGGTCACTTATTATCAAAGAATCGACCTTATAAGCCGAGATTCAAAAGAACTAATCGAAACGAAAGAGATTTTTGCTAATATTCAGATTAGCGAATTTAATGGTACATAATATAATCAACATGCTTCGTGCACCTTTCAACCAAGGTGCGTGATTAAGTGTGCTGAGAATTATTTCGTTCAAATTCGGGACTAATGGATTAAATACCAAAGATTGATATCTTTATTGAGTCTTAAGTTGAATTACACATGAATAAGCCATAGAAGTATTGTAACAGTATTTAAAAGAGAACGAGATGAAAAAGAAATATATTTTCGAAACATCTGTTGACAAACAACCAACTTCAATAATAACAAACACCACCCGGGCCCGGATATTTTTCTTGACAGTCATGACTATTGAGTCATCCTGCCTGTAACCAAGTTTGAGTCTCTGCTCGTTCCAATTTTCCTCTTCTTCCCTCAAAAAGCCAAAAGGCTATATTCGTCCATTCTTCTTTTCCTCGGTCGCAAACAGGAGTATTCCACATGTGGTGCAGAATCCATATCGACGATAGCAAGCCCACCGGTAACCGGATCAACCATCGGAACCATCTTTTGAACTGATGATTCCTCGCTTGTGTCGGGAGTGAGTATTTTCGCGAGATAAAAGGTTTCCACTTATTTCTTTGCTAGACCGCGAGGTGAAAGGCTTCATCCTTATCTTCACAAGTTTGGGATATTGCTGCAGGTTTAGCACGTGGGTAAGCTTATGAAAAGGACGGTAATACTTTATAGCACCCCTTCCGAGACTGTAGCATATATTGAAGAAGAGAGCTTTTCTGTAATAACGGACCAATCTTCGTTGAGCTGTGCAGCTAAAAGTCTTGGCAGATTGTCTTCCTGAAAAGTTATGCCATGTATAAGTAAATGCAAACCGTATAAATATGAATACAGGTAAGTATTGTATTTTCTTACTTCGCTGGTCCATTGGGGTAACAGCAGCTGGCGCATAAAAAAGTTTGCGAGCTAGCATACAAGCAAAAGACTTGGGCCATTCTTATTGATTCTACATACTTATCACGTGTTTCACGTGATAAGTATGTAGAATCAACGACGCGCATTCATGCCCACCGCAAAAACCTGTGGCAATGTCATCTTGCAATGGAAATCTGTTGGTTTATTCGGATGGAGTGACTAGCGTAGGGGGTGAGTTAAGAAACTTATCGTCAGATGAAATTTATATCAGAGCATTACAAACCGCATGTAGTGTACCAATAAGTTTATCGTCAATTTTTTAAACTGCAGAGAAACAACGTATTGGGTTCCGAGGTCAGAATTGGATGATCGATTGTTTGGCCGACAGTGTAGAAGAATAGCCTTTTACAGAAACATCGGAAGACTCTTTCACACATTTTATTGAATCTAGAATGTGCATACGTGAATGTTGACATGAACTATTCCGGTATTCATGATAGCAAATGGGACGGGTGTGATGGCGATGGTCCAGGCATGTTATTTTTGTTAGGCGATATGTACTGCTATAAGTGTTGTTGTGATCATTCAATAACTATTCCCTCAATCGGCCAATGAAATGCAGGCAGGAGAAGTAATGGGATGTTTACTCGCAGACTGACGGGATGGTTTCCATGCACAATATATGACTCATCACGTATTACAGTCTTGGCTGAGTCGATAAAAAGACAACGTGACATGTACGACAATTGATGGCGAGACTCGTGCGGTATTAGTCAGAGTTTCATAGCCCGCTGGATATCAGAACTGATGCTTTACTGGATAATCTGTTATTATGAAAAATAACAATTGTGTCTAATGAAAGTGGTGCGTATGTATGGGAGCATTCACTCAACAGCATCTAACAATACTAACTCGTTTGCACCGAACATTCTACCATGCCTAGAACATACTTAAGTTTCCCCGATGGGGGTATAGTGAGTTGGTTGTACGCACCATGGATCACATCTGAAATAGTGGTTATCTCGAAACAATTATATCGACTCCTGATAAGAACATGCCGATCCTTGGGTGGTTATTGCAAACTGGTGAAAAGAGATGACCGGCTGTCAGACGTTATTAGTAATAGTAAAGATATTCTCGCGGAATATCTTCTCATCGCTGTCACTGTTCAAAGACATAATTTGACATCCTAATATTTCGCACATCATGAATTATCAGTATTGAATCAATGTAAGACAACCAATTATTTTACTAGTTCTATGACTTCATGTCTAATTTACATAATATTGTAGCTTCTGATGGTGAATTACATGGACTAACTTTGCTGTATTTGATCCTCAATATATTCACTCCCTGGCAGCTTGCTTAGAAAATTGGTAATAATAACTTGTAAAGTTCGAATATTAATATTGATTTTTGCGGCAAAGCCTTACATAATTCGTCTGATATGTTTATTATATTCCGCAGTTACACGGCGTGTTTATTTACCAAACAAATTCTATATTTAGTGGTAAGTCAAAACAACACGTCCTTTACCAGAACGCTTCTAGAGTTATGACGTTCGCAAGGACACCAATGAATATAACCCATGAAGCAGACAGTACTTGGTGTTCAGACTTAACAAGGAACTGGCAACAATGCAGCAGAAAGTCCTTCCTTGGCCTGCGAAGGCGCCAGCCACGCCGCCCTCCAGTTTCCATTCCGTGTGAGAAGACGAGCAAGAGGGGTTTGATGGCAACTACCCAGAGATAGCAGCATCTCTCCGAATCGTGTGGCTGTTTGTCGGCTTCCCGGCAACAATAAAAACATTTTTGTTTAGTCCTTATCGCTAGAACTAATACGACGTCGCCCCTTGTCGGTTACAACTTTTATTCGGAGGGGAGGCAATCCCTATTACGCGTAATATGTGGACCGCTGATGGAATTAAGACACTTTACTTGATGAATGTCTTCCACCAACTACAGAAATTTTGGAATGACATGATGTTAATTGCAAAAGACGGTGACAGAGAGTATACTTGGAAATGTTCAAAAACTTCTTGCACACAGAGCCTATACTTTATTTGCCAGCGGCATCGCCACACGCACATATTAATACGAAGTTGACACAAAACAATAATAATAATCAACGGTACCTGCCTGAGTATTAGAATCGAGCGTGCGCCAAGCTTTTCAGGAACCGGCAAATCAGATGAAACCCAAGCGTCTTCCACAACCTGTTCGAGAAGAATGGGAAAAATTCGTGCGGGCATTTAAACGTCATCGACTAAATGGAAGTACACAAGCCTAAGTCCTGGCAATATAGAAGACAGTTCACAGCAGTCATAGTGTGGTAAAATACCCTTCTTTACTTGTTTTTATTAATTTAGTCTGAGCCAGTGTTCTGGCAACTATTTTTAAATCAAATGACATGCACCGAAGAAATGGGCATTTATTAATTTGTCAAACACATTTTCCTAAATTATCAATTTATTGTAAAAGTATTCTATGATAATAAAAGAGTAAGAGTGATTGTTGGTAAAGCAATGTTTAGTCAGTATACTATTCTATTATTGTTCTCTACAATCTTATTATGACAGGTATAATTTATCGAACAGTAAAGAAGCCTTTCCACTTCATATCTATTTGACAAAAGCTTATTAGCCCCTTTAACTTACATAAATTTGACCTTATGAACAAAATACAGTCAACCTCCCATACCAGGATACATATTAATATACAGTCACACTGTCAGGAATGACCAAAACTAGTGAGTTTAAGGTCAACTTGTGGTCATGTGGTTCAACCAAATGTTAAAGTTATGCAATGTTTTGTCACTACTTCGCTGCAACAAAGCTCGAAACACATGATAATAATGAAGGCTGTAGTTGGGTGTCATTATTACGTTGCTACGCCAAATTTTAGAGCACTGAATATAGTACCCCCTTGAATAGTACCCCCTAATACTAAATTAAGACCCGGGTACAATTCAAGAATTTTTGACGAAAGTTTTTGAAATGTCAGTAGGAATTTTATTATTTACCAATGATATGTACCTCAGTACAAAGCCATTCATCGATGTACTATAACTTGATAAAGCGTAATAGTAATAAACGCATACAATCAACGAAAAAAAATCACTGTCTCATAATCAGTCAACGAGATATCAACAGCTTCGATTTTTAATCAACCAAATTCTAGTGATCGAAAGAGAGATCGAACTATAACAAAACCATTCTGCGGAACGTACACTGCATACCTTCCCGATATAAAATAATTGACAAGTTTTTCTAAAGCATTTCAACTTCGGCGCTATAGTAGCTCTTTTCACATCGCGTTAGCTAAGAAGTAATGAACTTTAATATAATAAAATTGACCAATCACATCACTTTGTGAAGAAATTTCAAAGTACCTCCTAATATAGTACCCTCTTCCATACACAGTACCCCGGGTACATTCCCCCGAATATAATTCAAAAACTTGAGGTGTTCTAGATATATACCCGGGGTTCTATATTCAGTGCTCTACAGTAATTGCAGGCATTATGACACACTATCATTACCTATATACAGATATATGACTGCTTTATATATATGGGGGAGGAAACTACTATAAAAATTCGGGTATTAGTATGGGTAATAATAACAATCTTAGACAAGAATTATTCAATATTTACATTTGATACAGTGACCTTGAGAACTTAGTAAATTAGCAATAAAATCAATGTTTATAAAGTTTATGTTAATATTATTTAATTTGAATACAGTGAAACCTCTTTATACTGGTCAGCTCCGTCCACGGGGATTTTTGACCGGTATCGGTATGAGGAAGACCGGTATAAGGTATAAAAGGCAAGTAATACAAGAGGTGCATATAAGGATAATCCATTATGTAATAACAGGTTTATTCAATCTTTGTCACAAAGTGATCTAAAACTTCTTGCCTAAGGTTGTTCATTCTGCTTAACGTTGTAAGCGCAGTAAGTTATCCACGTCTTTTTGTGTGATGAATGAATTAACTGCAATTCGATAATGAGAACATTGAGAATTTCTTACTTTAAATTGACAAATTTTTTTTTTCTGCAAAGCAGTGAGTGAAACTCTGGACTTTTTTGTATTCGTTTGATTTATTGATTGGAAAGAACGTTTTTTACGTGTCATGGTAGATAAAAGAAAGTAAAAGTGAAAAAAAGAAATTTATTTATTGTGTTACTATTACATGATCAACCGGTATAAAAAGGAAAATTTCATATATTTTATAATAACATGACGAAATTTGTCCAGCAAAATTTCGACCGGAGCCATTATTATTATAGCCAATTTAATTAATGATGACCGGTATATAAAGGGAAATTTCATATGTGAAAATCCGTTCCTGAAATTTTGGCCGTTATAGAAAAAACCGGTATAACCGGGGGACGGTATAAAGAGGTATACTAATATTAATAATTATGATAACCATTAAATTAGTAATACATTAATTAATAATGGTTTATAAAATTTGCATTTAATAATAATTTTGATACACCATTTAATCCGCAAAGTTGGTTTACGTTTAAGTCCCGAATTATTCATGTGGATTACGTGGTCTCGGTCTCTCTCGGCCGGGAAAAAAGGGCACCGAAAAGAAATGTTTGACAGGAAACCTTTGCGGCATTTGATTTTGTAAATTTGGATATATTGAAAAGGTATTGCACAGCACTATGACTGCCGTGAACTGTCTTTCGTTGTGACTTACGTTTTAGCTTTCCATTCCCCACAAAATTGCGAGGCTTCAAATACTTCAACAAAAAACTGGTCGATAGATCTCGATACATTATAGTGACATTCGGCATCCGACACGAATGAACGCATATTGTGAGGCTACTATTATCGCGTCAATCTCATATTAATGTCTTTAAAAGTTTAGTTTTTTCTTAACACAACCACGGGTCGCAGCCTAAGTTCGAACGAAGGAATATCCCATTTCTTCCCAGCAACAATAAAGTTCTGGTCATCAGACCGATCTGAGATCTGATATTTTCTCATTGATTCATTCATACAGATCTCTTTCTTCTATTAATAAGAAGAGTAAACCGTGTGTGCATTTTGCACATTGTGAGTAGTGAGTTCGTCGTGCGAGTGAGTTCGTCGTGAGGAGTTCTGATAAATTGGGCTCTTGCTGTATATCACATTCATGATTGACCTCATCTACAACTCGTCGTGCTGTACATGGGCAAGCTCAAATCTTATAATGGGAATGAGCGTGTCATTACAAAGTCCCCGTAATTGGATAAAAATAAAGGTCGTATAATTTCATTGATAATCCCATACTGCGTAATGAGGATTACTTTCTTTGAATTGTAGCGGAGGGGGGCGTGTATACCCAAAACAGCAAGAAAACAGTAATCTGTTTTCATTGCTTTTGGTAACAATGTCTCTTCTCTGCTCAATCTCGCTTCTGTGCGGTAGCCGGCAAGCTTTACCATTCCTTTCCTTTGCCTTTAACAATAAGCCATAATCCCTTCAAAATTGGAGGATGCGTGGCTGAAACCGTCACAGGTCGGAAGGACTCTGCTGTTATTGAACGTTCATCACGTTCCTTCGTTATTGTCCCTTGTTGTCTGAACGCCCAATTACCGTCTCTTGGGGCAACTAGTATTGGATCGTCGTCCTTGCAGCTTCGTGGTTTATTTTATTAGCGTCCTTGCGAGCGTAATAATAATAATCGTTGTCTACTGAAAGTGGTTTTTTGTTCGTAATAACAATCCAAAGGTTTGTTCGACGTGTTTGTTTTGACCTTGCCTAAATATAGCACGACAAACATTGTGTAACTAAACTAGATGGAATATCAAATAACTTGAAATGATCATGTGATAAATCAGATAGGAGAAGACGGCATTGATACCACAGAGTTCATGAATCATCTCACAAGATTCGATGCGTTCGACTCTTGCAAACCATAAATCAACTTCTAAGCATTATCAATTCTAAGCATGCTACAAGGGAGATCGATCCTTGTGAGTACATGAGTATATGGCGTGTATAAGGACAGACGTGTTCGTTCATCTATGGAATGTTTCAAAGTCATTATGTGTCTGGGAGAAGTTTTTTGCGTCAAACGTTGAGATCAGCAAAAAAAAGCGACCCCTTAGTTTATTGTGCTTGTATTAACCGCTTGCTTAATTCTGTGCAACAGTATCTCAAAATCACCGCGGGGACGCTTCTTAATATCAAGGCACGGTTTTCTGCTCACAAATATCTCATGACCACGATGAACGAGACATAATTGGGTGAAGACCGCGATTTTTACAAAGTTAGTCCCTTATCTTGGAATGTGGGAAGATAATTGTAATTAAGTTACAATATAGATATGGTCGATGAAGTCACAGAACAGCAGAATAATTGGTTGTCTTACATTGATTTCAATGCCGGTAATTCATGACTATCCGCGAAAAATATCTTTCCATCATTCAAGCATACTAGTCAATTTCGGATACTCTACTGGGCGATCGCAAGTGCGGTTTCATCGTCGTTGATGTATCAGTTTTAAGCTCCATTGTATAAATTATGTCTGACAGCTGAGCATCAATTGTCGTATACTACCTACTCAAAAGTCGCCGCGCTGTCTGCTTATGAATTCGTGAAGGTTAAACCAAGATTGTGATACGTGAAGAGCGATACATCGCCCGCGGAGACAACCCCGTCCGGACAGTCATCATGTAGGTAGTTAACATTCCATATCCCTCGGGTACAGGAACATAATTCTTGGCGTGAATTAAAGTTCTACGTCCTGCATTGACTGATACTCCTTTTTAGACTGTAATTGAGGGAATAGTTATTAATAAATAATTGTTCGTTGTTTGAACCCATCACAACTATGCCTATAATATCCCACCTTATAGAAAATATAACGAGCCAGGACCACTGCCGTCATATGTATCCCGTCTGCTATCACGAGTAGCTCATACCAACATCCATCCACGCTTTCTGGACGCGAAGAGAAAACTTCTGATGTTTCTAATGTTATTGTAGAAGCACAGATTCGGGAACATCTCCTTATTATAGTCGACGTCTCACACTCCACTCTTCCGACTCGATCGGCCCCAACTCATCCACTCACACATCAACAACCGCTCTTCCGGCTCGATCTGTCCCAACTCATCCACTCACACATCAACGACCGCTCTTCCGGCTCGATCGGTCCCAACCACACATCAATAACCACTCTACTCTCCAGTGCAATTACTGTCGCCGACTCCTCCCATCCCCATTAAGCTTTCTGGAATATAGTGAGAACGCTCCAACATCAACCGAAGAATTAGATACACCCGAGTTTTTTCAACATAGCAAAGAAAAATATGAATCGGCCAAGTCGGAAGTAAAGAGACAAAAGAGGCGAGGCGAATATCGGTCTGCGATAAAGGCGAGTATCTCGCATGGTCAGCCTGATAACCCATCTCTAACTTTGCCTGCAATATTAAGACAAATTATTCGATGAGGGATAAAGTTACCATACAATGCTCTAATATATAGTTTCATTGAACACCAAACTTACCCCGCGCTGATCACTTCATCCGGGCAATCGAAGGTTTACTTATAACAGCATATTCTCTCGAGTTCCAAGACACATAGTTCTACGGCCTGCATTTTCAGACTATAATTAGCCACCTGAGAATCATCAAAACAATACCTACAGCAGCAATATCTCGCTTATAGAAATACAGCATGCACGTGCCTGGGTCATCCATCCCGTCTGCTATCACGAATAGCTTATACCAATATCCACCTGCGCTTTCCAGATTCAATAAAGTGTGAAGAGAGACTTCTGACGTTTTTATAAAGTGCAAACTCGAGGATGTCTTGCCATCAAAGTAGACAGCTCTTTGTGTGATAAATGCGAAATTCCTACACGGTCAGTCAAATACCCGATCCTCTAACTTTGACCTCTGCAATATCAAGACAGGAATAAATTAATCTGATGAGTAATAAAGTCTTTTGCTGTACGACACGCGATTGTAATGTATAACTTCCCAAACTTACTCCGTGCTGACCTCGTTCTCCCATCCGAATAGACCAATGAATTTCCATTCGTAAGATGGCGTTGTCACGTCTTCCTCGCTTCACTTACAGATTTCTTGGCGGGACGGTTGGGGTGAGTTCTAGCCCGATAGCAAATGAAAAATGCCTCGATCATCCATTTATCGCAGCAACAAAAAAACCCCCTCGTCGTTTGGCATAATTGAGTTCTAAGGAACAGGTATAATTGTAAACGATATGTAAATAATGCGTCCAAACTCATGGGATTTGAAATTGCTCACAGTCAGAAATAATTGAATAATAGAAGATGGGACCGCAAAATACCCAAATTTACTTTTCTTACTATGAATGCAGTTCTGTATCCTACCAGGCGTGGATAATGTCACAGAATGTGCTTGTAGCTGTGCCATGAAATTGACCGCGCCGTCTCAGAATCAAAGCCCTAATATGAAGCATTAATCATACGCTCGCGTGCGTCGTTACAAAATTTACCTATTTCTTCGCCATTAATCTCACTACTTACCATACAAAGCCATCCATCCATAAGTGTCCTATGGTCAAGCCATAAATTTATATTTTCATCTTTGATTAAATGTGCAGACCACGATTGCTCGAGTTCAACATCAAATGGATCGGGCCAGTTGCACGTTCCTGAAACTTTCAGGCGGGTAAGTACTAGATCGGCATCGTGCAGGAGAAATATTATATTTTTTGCAAATCAGTCATCAAATATATTTAATGCATTCTTGACGACCGACATGGTTAGAAGTAATCTCTGATCAATCAATCTGCTTTAGGCAATTCAACTCCGCTCTCATGATGGAGTACCTATAATTCCAACACGCTCAACACATACCAGAACGTCATAATAGCTCACCAGATCTCGTGCTCTACTCACGTCGGACTAGTCGCCGAACGATCTCTTGAACGAATATGTGAGTCTGCGTAGCCATACTTTAAGCTCCTGATCTCAGAGGGGCCTGCTATCATTTCTTTATTTACATATTGTATGCATCGCTTATCGATCTATGTTTATATGAACTTTATATTGTCGTTCCTTTTTCTAGCGCAACAGTTATCGGCGCGGTACTAGCTGTTCATTATTACCTTCGTACGATAGAATGGTTTACCAAGTGTGGCACCAACATATTCTATCTTTCGAGACAGCGCAACCGTCCACCACCATTGTAATCACACGACGAGAATCTCGTAAAGCAGGCCAATCGACACGTATCTACATCAAAAATCAATCGCCTCTTGGGTGCTCCGAGTACAACTGATAACACAACTACGCTCGTCCGTTCAACGAAATGTAAAAACATTCTGCCACGTAAGTCTTCTAGAAATGAAATTTTATCGAACGCCTGAACCATCAATCATTACTCGTCAACTTTCTTGCGTCCATTTCCCGTAGTCACGGCAACTGATCTGGCCTTTTACCAAGACGGCATGATGATAGCTAAGAGAACGATTATGAGAGTTAACAAGGAAGACTATTCTCGGGTAAGACTGATCGTTCTATAGAAACCGGATGGTCCGACCATAGTTATTCGATATTCGATCGTCTGTGGTTATCTGACAGCGTATATTGTTTAGTTTCATTCGGTTGGGAAGTTTCCAGTTTCGAATGTCGGTTGCGGCTCACAAAGCAAGATCGAATCGATGGGTCCAAGAGCACTGATAATGGACTGCCGGGGTTGTCGGATATGAGGTCATATGGAATGCGAGTCTTGCTTTACTCCGTTTCATAGTGATTGTATTTATTATACCCACTTTTGAAATACCACTAATTTTTTAATACTCCCTTCTTTAAAGATTCGCAAATCTCGCGTTAATTGTCTGGCTCAGTTGAGCATTCTTTTACGTCTTTGGATATTGCGCTAGCGAAGAAAATTAACGTGTGGCATATTTAAGTAAATTTTATTTGAAGACTGTAAAGTCGGACACAATATTGAAGGACGATTCTGTAGGCAGTCAAGCACGTATTATAGCAATTTGCTAGCATGCTTTACCTGGGACATTCCAGTGAGAAACGCGAACAACATATCTTGTAAATGTATTCAGCTGTCTATATTAATATAGCAACTTATCTTGTAAAAGCATTGGAAATAGTATTGATTCTTGTTTTGATTCAAGTTTTCGACAATCAGTTTATTTTCAATTTCCATATGATCACATCTTTGAAGACTAATCTATTTGTGAAATCACTCTCTATGTGAGACCATAAGATCCGAAACATCTTACTATTTAAACAAAAGAAGAGAAAGAACATATACAATGGAAAGTTAACCGATTTGTAAATCGCACCGAGGCAGACAGTAACTGTCAAGTGCCTCGGATTGAAGATTTGCCCATTGCTCTGCATGGGCTGCATTGATCCTAGGATGGGACGGTTGAGCCAGGACGTTTTAATTTTTCGCCCTGGCATCCGGATCTACGTATCGGGACGCTTCGTGAGAATTTGTTGTTCGGTCCTCCAGTTCGGATCTGCCAAGGCGTTCGAAGGTTGCTGGCCGTTTATCCCGCGATAAAATAATTCTTCGGTCAACGCCCAATCCGTAGTTTCGTTTAGCGAGGGAGGAGGGGGGAGCGGGAGCACACCGTTTCGCTGGTCAGGGCCAGGGCCAGGTTCAGAGTCAGAGTCAGGATCGTATAGAATCTGACGCATGACTTTTGTGTTTTGCGGTTCACGATTCCGTGAACGTTGTTGCTCATACACGATGCGATGTCATGTATGTTGCCATTGCCTGCTGTATATGTTATATGTTGTCATTTTGTAAGTTGTCATGTTAAAAGAACGGTTTAATACATAGACCTGGCCTTTATTTATTAAAATGTGTATTTAATTATTTAAGTATGAGGTTTTGTTGAAAACCGCGATTTACACCTAGTGACGATGAAATTTTAGGCAAGCAATGGCAACTGAACAATGTCCTCTTTGCTTAATCCCTGAACGATATATAAATACTAGCATTCATTGATCGCTCCAATGATTGTAGAACATTCTCTGCTGTATTACACGTTATGCATTATCGATTATGGGAATATTTCGCAAGATGACAGTGCTACACGGTATGGTCGACCTGCCGATATCGATATCGATACCTGTTTTCAATACCACCGGGTTGTTTCACAACAAAAGACAAAGAACTCGCATGTTGTGTACAGTATTAAGGATAAACCATGTAATACAAGTTTTCAGGTCATGAGAAAAAAAAACGCAATAAATGGTTACGCAAAATATGCCGTCCTCTTTGATGGTGATGACGTATGGTACGCTTAAATGCCTATTTGTATGTAGACTATGGAGAATGGCAAACGTAAAGTTAGTACAATTGTATTAAAAACAGTGAGATAGCTGTTAGTGTCATCTAAATATTATCCTCGGGTTGAGCATACTTCTTAAATATCTGCCAATATAGCTCACATATGAAGTCATTGTAACAACCAATAAACGTTTGTACCATCTAAAAATATATACGCCCCAAACTTTAGTTCAAAATGTAAAAGTAGATTTCTGTCTATCGCTATGTATACCAAAGTCCGAAAATAGCTAAATCTATAAAAACCTTAAATTAATCAACAATTGTTATTGCTCAGCCACACCTCAAGAAAAGCTTGATAACCTATAAAAATCTCTCTGGTCGAACGAGTAACATTCACAGCAGAATGTCCAGCAACAGCTTTTCTAAACCGATGGCCATCCGACCAAACAATCTGGTTTTCTCTCCCAAAATTACACTCAGAGAAAAAATGTCTTATATTTTCGATGAAAGCCCCTTCTTTTTGTTATTGAACAACAACCTCCCTCGCACATTGGGCTCGTACAGAGTTGATATCGCCACAAAGTAAGGATTGGATTGGTTCTGTGCGTTCTCGCGCATATAAATATCTATATTATTTTTTAACTCTTTAATCTATTACCATTCAGATGCAAAATGCTTTGTGGGCCATGTAAATAAATGGTTACGAAAGATTGGTAAATATATAATTCACGTAATATTTCCCGAAAAACGGACTTTTTTAATAATTGGGAATGAATTTTTTTCTTTTGATCTCACAGGTCTAGTTGTTGCAGGTCCTCTCGACACGGCGTGAAACGAGGAAAACAATACGTCACGCCGTGTGAGGAGGCTCTGGAGAATATTATACAAAGTTCCTCTATGATTTGGTAAATATTATCTCATACGCTTTCTTTTTGACAACGTGGACTTGTAATAATCGTGAATGACATGTTTCCTAATCTCAGACGAGCCTCTTCGGCTAGAACAATAAATCTCCCTCGCAGGCAAATGGTGGGGTGGGGGTCTATCTGCAAGCATCGTCAGCCTTAGTCCAATTAGACATGAGCTGCCTACGTCGTTTCATCCATTTTCATATGTAATATTAAGCATAAATGAAGATATCTTTAACCTCAGACAAATTGGTTGGGATGGGGGGAAGGGTGTAAATAATTCATGT